CGGGGGAGACGGGCCCGGCGCGGGCAGCGAGGCCACAAAATGGCCGCGGCGGCGCGGGGGGCGCCGGCCACGCGCCCCGACAGGCCTCGCCTGCAACGAGGGGGGGAATGAAATGCAACGTGTGAAAGGAGGGAAGAGAAAGGGGGGAAAAGGGGATGGCGGGAAGGGAAGCCGCGCCRGGCGGCGCGCGGGCAGGCAGCCGCGGGCCGCGCTGCTTTGACTGCGCTGTTTGGACTGTCGCAGCCTTTTCCCGGCATCAGGGAAAGCTGCGAAAGGAAAACGCCGAAAGCCAAACGRGCGGGAGGAGGAGGCGGATGGAGGGAGCGTGAGAGAAGAGGGGTGAAGGAGGAGGGATGCAGGGGGAAACAAAGCGAAAGAAGGGAAACAGCCCCGCAAAATCCCATGAGGTTTGGCAGGGCTGTTGGACGGGCCTGGCCCGGTGGTGATGGTGGAGAATGGCCGGGATGGCGCCGTGGGCCGGGGTGGCGCCGGGGCCGCGCGTCCCTCCGCTCCGGCTGCCCCATGCGGGCCGGGGCCGAGCGCAGCGGCGCAGGATGCAGCRGAGGCCAAGAACGCTGAGCTCAGCGTCTGCCGCGCTGCCGAGGAGCACGGGTATTTTTAGCTAAGATGGAGCRGGGCCGGGCCGTGCCGGGGGCCGCATGCCCCGCCGGAGGCTTCCCCGGGCTCTGCAGCTCAACCAGAGGGAAAACCCGCGGCGGGTTCTCAGACGCCCCCTTCCCGGGGAAGCTCCCGGGGGCTCCACAGCGCTCCCAGGGCCGCTGCGACCCCGGGGTTGGCGGCCAGGCCATGCGAGGGATGCGTGCAGGGAGGCAGAAACCAGCAGGGAGGCCAGGCCTCAGTTTCCCCACTCGKGCCAGCAGCCCCATTGTTCCCACTGGAGCAGCACCCGGCGGCGAAAGCGCCTGCGGGGCCAGGTAGTGCCAAGCCCCGTCCCGCAGCCTTCGTGCGGCGCCTCAGCCCGTTCCCTCCCGTTGCAGATTCCGAGCAGAGCAGCAGTCCCCGAACGGGCATCGGCTCCGACCAGGAGGACAGCAAGCCCATCACGCTGGGTAAGGAGGACGCGGCGGCTCCAAGCCCTCCCACCCYGCTAGCACAGAGCCCGGATGAGCCCGCAACACTGCGGCCGCCCGCAGCGACCTCCCTGGAAAGGCGGCTCCGGCGCTGCAGCGGGAYGTGCCGGCAGCAGGGCCGGAGCTGGGCGCTGCTCGGGGACAGGGGCAGCCCCACGCGGAGTCCCCGGGACCTTGTGTTGGCCGCAGCCCCGGCAGGAGGAGCAGGGTGGGTCGTCCCGCAGGGCGGATCTGCCTGGGGCAGGAAGAGCCCGGAAGGGAGCGGAAAGCGAAGGGAAGGACGGGCTTGTGCTGAAGGCAGGAAAGCCGCGGGGAGGAAAGTGCTGAGCGAGGGGCTTTGTGCACGTGGGAGCCCGGCGGCTGCTGCGCGGCCCCGCGCGAGCCCGGCCCGGCGCCGCCGCAGCGCTGACTCAGCAGCACAGGCTGCCTGAGCGATGGCTGCGGCGCCGCTCCCGCCCGTGTGTGCCCAGCCCGGGCACCCGGAGCTCCTGAGAGGTGGCACAAGGAGCCCCCGCAGCTCCCTCAGGTCCCCGCTGCGCCTCCCTCCTGGGGGCAAGGACAGTGCTGGAGATGCCGCTGTGCATCCGGACACCCGCCCGCATCCCGCGCGTGCGGCTGCGGTCCCTGAGCCCCGAGCACCCAGACGTGCAGGGCGCCCTGCGGGACGTGCCTGAGCCCCGGGCTGCTCCCACAGGGACCTGGCTGCTCCACGGGGTCCCACATCCCCTAGGGCACCCCTGTCACCCAGCCAGCAGCAGCCAGTGGGGAGATTGGGGCTGTGGGGGGACCMCAAGGTGAGGGGCAGAGGTGCCAGGGCCCCACTGCCGCTCAGAGCTCTCCTCTCTCCTGCAGATTCGACAGACTTCCAGGAAAGCTTCGTCACCTCGGGGGTGTTCAGCGTCACCGAGCTCATCCAGGTGTCCCGAAGTGAGTGCGGCTGCCGTGCGRTGTCTGGCTCTGGCTTTGGGGCTCTCGCTCCCTGGGGGCACAGCTGGCTCCATAGCCTAGAGCCTGGGGCTGGCGGGAGAGCGCCCTGTGTCCCCCCACCCTGTGGCCAAAGGGGTGCGATGCTGCTGGTCACGGGGGCCTCCTGGCGCCCCTCACAACCCCCTCTCTCCTTGCAGCGCCGGTGGTGACAGGCACGGGGCCAAACTTCTCCCTGGGGGAGCTGCAGGGCCACCTGGCCTACGACCTGAACCCCTCGAGCACAGGCATGAGAAGGACGCTACCGAGCACCTCCTCRAGCGGGTAGGTGCCGGGGCCAGGGGCGACGCTGGGATGATGCCARGGCCACCAGGCACGGCACTGGGTGGGAAGGGAAAGGCAGGTGGGCTCCYGCTGCGAGGCACCGCGCTCGCCATGTGCAGCCCTGCACGGCCCCTGCCCCATGGGCTGGACATGGAGATGCGGCTGCCAGGGGCAAAGAGCCCCCAACGGTTCCCGGCGTGGGGGGACAGCGTGGGCAGAGATGCCCGTGGCGCCGGGGAGCAGCGCGTGCCCGGGGGTATCTCGGCCATGCAGCACAGCCCGCACTCCTGCCGAGCGCCAGGCACTGCTCCCACGGCAGCACCCGGGGGCCCCTGGCCCAGGCATCCGGGCGGGCCTGCCAAGCAGGAACATGAGCCGGCCTGAGCCTTCCCTGGTGCTTTTTGGCCCCGCAGGAGCAAACGGCACAAGTCTGGCTCCATGGAGGACGACATAGACACGAGCCCGGGCGGCGAGTACTACACCTCGTCCAACTCGCCCACGAGTAGCAGCCGCAACTGGACAGAAGACATGGAAGGGGGTAGGTACCCGAGCGGCCCTGGCCCTATAGGGACCCTATAGGCACCAGGCTGCTGCTGCACAAGCCTCCTGCCGGGTGCCGGTTAAACCGGGCTCGGCCAGAGGGTCCCCCACGAGGGCGCTGGTTCTCTATAGGTGCTGCTGTTGGGCCCCTGTGTCAAAGCTACAGGCGCCCCACGGCGGTGCCTATAGGCCCTCCAGCAGCTCACTGTACAGGCGCTATAGCATTTGTGCAAGCCTCTCCCTTACGGCATCCGCTCTCTATAGGCGCTGTGCTGTAGCCTCAGGCCCCCTATGGAAGCACAGGCTCTCCATAGGTGCTGCAAGGCTGCTGCAGCCTGCCCTGCGGCCCGGCCACCGCTCTCTGCAAGCACCCGGGATGGGCATTCGGGCGCCCGCCATGTCCGGGTCCGTCACCGCCGGCCTCTCCCAGCCCGCGGGCTCCCGCGCGCTGCGGACAACCCGCGTTCTGCCTTGGCATTTTTTTTTTTTCCTTTCCCCCTTCCTGTCTAGACAGCCCCAATTAGCTGTTCATTAAGAAGCCGGGGGGAGCAGGGGCGGGCTGGGCTAATTAAAGCGATGCTGCCGGGGCTGGCACGGCGGCTCCCAGGCCCCCGCGCCCCCGGGCGCCGCGCGGTGCCGCTCGCCTCTATTCATCCCCCGCTTTGATTCCGCCTCCCCGCTCCCGAAAGCGGGAGCAGGAGCCGGCGCCGCCCTCCGGCCCCGGCCGCACATGGCCCCACGGCGGGGCCTTGCACACCCGTGTGCGCCAGGGACACCCCGGGTGTTCCCAGCGCTCGACACGCTCCGGTGCTCCAGGTCCGAGGCCGCGCAGCTCAGTGGCTGGGGAAGCCCGAGCAGCAAAGCCACGGCCAGTTTCTCCCGGGCACAAAGTCCCTTTTGGGAAGTGGATCCTGGGAAGAGCAGGAGCCTCCGCGCTTTCCTCCAGCTGGGATGGCTGCAGTGCCCTGACCGGCTCTGCTGGGACACAGCCTGGCAGGCGCCCCTGGCAGGGTCCCCGGCACCGGGGCCACGCGGGAGGATTGTCCCCATTTTGCCAAATTTATTTGTGCAAAGGGGGGGGGAGGGGGGGGGAACAACCAACATAAATGGGATTTTCATTTCAGAGGATTTTTTTCCTATTGGAAACAGCCCTGGATTTTATTTTTAAACGCAGCGCTTTCTTTCGCGGCGCCTCCAGCCTCCTCTGAGGTTTTGTTCTCTCCGCCGGCTCTCCCGGCACGGGGGCCCCGGCTGCTGCATCCGCACACGGGACCGGCCCCATCCCGCTCCCAGCCCCATCCCGCTGCCAGCTGCATCCCGCTCCCGGCCCCATCCCGCTCCCGGCTGCATCCTGCCCAGGGCCGGTGCTCGGGCCTCCCCGTGGCCTCCTCCCCGGCAGGGCCGTGGCTGTGCCGGAGTCGCCGTCAGGACGGGCTTAGCGCCGGCGGGGGGTTTATTTCAATCCCGTACGGGATGTTCTGGGAAATCCTCCTAAGGGGACGGCTGAGAGCGGCCTAAACCCATTAGCTGCGGCGGGGCCAAATGGCCACGGCCAAAGGGGGGACGAGGGGGGATTAACTCACTGCCCGGCGTGGGGCAGCCCCGCACGGCCCCRCACGGCCCTGAAACAGCTCCMCACACCCCACACAGCCCTACGTGGCCCCACAGGGGCCCACAAGGCCCCTCATGGCCCCACATGTCCCCACACGACGCCACATGGCCCCACACRGCTCCATACGGCCCCACACGGCTCCATACGGCCTCACATGGCCCCACACGGCCCTGCACGACCCCACACGGCCCCACACAGCCCCACATGGCCCCTCACAGCTGTGAGGCCTCCCTGGGCAGGGCCTCACTGGGCCAGGTGTCGCTGTCCCCCGGGCACCCTTTGCACCCTCGATGCGTCGCCAGCCCTGCAGCCTCCTGCCCACTCCTGCCCAGCGTTGCGGGTGTCTCCCGGCCCTGTGAGGACGGTGGGTGCCCAGGCCCAGCAGTGGCTGCGGAGCCACAAGGAGTGTTTACCCACCCGAGGGTGCCCCCCCACCCTGTGCAAACACCCATCCGCGTCCCCTGCATGCGTGTGTGTCCATGGGCAACAGCACGGGCCTTGTGTGCATGCAGGGCACACATGTGCACAGCCATGCACACGTGGAAGCTCACACATGTGCACACCCACTCACCTGTACACACCCACACTTGTGCACACCCACTCACCTGTACACACACGTGTGCACACCAATACATGTGTGCATCCACACACGTGTGCACACCCATACATGTGTGCACCCACGCACCTGTACACACACACATGTGCACACCCGTACATGTGCACAGCCACACACATGCGCACACTCACATGTGTGCACAGTCACACACATGTGCATACTCACATGTGTGCACAACCCTGCACAGAGCACACTGACACATATGTGCACATGCACATACCCGTACACACATACACACACGTCCACACATGCACACACTCACATTTGTGCASACCCTCACACCTGTACRCACACACATGTGCACACTCACACATGTGTACATCCACACATATGTGCACACTCACACCTGGGCCCATCCGCAGACACGTGCGCACTCACATACCTGTATACACACATGTGTATGCACACGCCCACGTGTGCACATCCTCACACCTGTACAAACCCACACGTGCACAGCCACCCACCTGTACAAACACATGTGTGCACACCCACACATGTGCACACCTGCACACCTGTACACACACACATGTGCACACCCACACATGTGTGTACCCACACACATGTGCACACCCCTACACTGGGCATATCTGCACACATGTGCACATCCACACACGTGCACACCTGCATATCTATACACACACACGTGTGCACCCATGCACATGTGACCACCCTCACACGTGTGCACACACACACATGTGATGCCCAYGCAGGCAGACTCCCGCACACACACGTGTGCAAGCACACACAAACAGGGTGCACACGTGCACATACATGTGCCATGCGTGATGCACAGGCACGCTGATGCAGAAACCCGTGTGGGAACACACAGCCCCATCACAGCTCCCCACACCCTCCTCCCGCACCCCTCRTGCGGGGCCAAGCCGCCCGGACGCCGGGGCCCCTTCCCAGGCCACCCCTCGYCCTGACTCTGCCCTGCCCTCGCCAGGCATCTCCCCCACCGTGAAGAAGACGGAGATGGACAAGTCACCCTTCAACAGCCCGTCRCCCCAGGACTCGTCGCCGCGGCTGAGCAGCTTCACGCAGCACCACCGTCCCGTCATCGCGGTGCACAGCGGTGAGCGGAGCCACCCACGGGTGTCGGGGTGTCCAGGGGGGCCAGACACGGGCCCCGCCGTGACGCCCACCCTGCCCTTCCTCTCTGCGCCCGCAGGTATCGCTCGAAGCCCCCACCCGTCGTCGGCTCTGCATTTCCCCACCACCTCCATCCTCCCCCAGACGGCCTCCACCTACTTCCCGCACACGGCCATACGGTACCCGCCTCATCTCAACCCCCAGGACCCTCTGAAAGATCTCGTCTCGCTGGCCTGCGACCCGTCCAACCAGCAGCCCGGACCGGTAAGGAGCCTGCGGGGACAGATGCCACCGGGGCCGGTGGCACCGGGCTGCCGCCAGCCCGGCCGCCTGCGTCGCCGTGCGGGGATGCCGYGGTGCCGCTGCTCCGACGGAGGCAGGAGCGTGGTCCTGTCCTGCAGCGTCGGCGTCGTGCCGCGCAGGGGCCGGGCGTCTTGGCCGCGCGCCGGCCGCCTCGGGAACATCGCCACCGCCGCCGCCGCTCGCGTCTGCGCCRCGGGTCCCTGGCACAAGGGCACTGCCCACGCCGGGCTGAGCTGTCCCGCCGGCCCCGGCACCCGCGGGCGCCTCAGGCGCTCCCGCCGCAGCRTCCGTGTGTCCTGACCCGTCTGCCCATCTGTGGCACCATCGGTCCTGGGTGCCGCCCACTTGGCCAGGCCTGAGGCCGGGGCGAAGGACCCCGGCCCGAGGAAGAGGAGGCCACCGAGGAAGGAGGCGGCCGGGGGCTTGGCTGGGGTGAGGTGCAAAGGGGCCTTCGAAGGAGGGACAAGGGCCAGGGGCAGCCCTTGGAGCCCCCATGTGCTGGGCACTCCAGAGGCCCCACAGACACGGGGCAGCAGCAGCGAGGGGGACCCAGTGCCGCTCCCCGCCCCACGCCGAGACCCGGCAGATTCGTTGCAGTGATGGGGGGCAGGTGGCTCCGACGGCGCCGTCTCCGCGGGCACTCCCCCGATCCCGGCGCCTCCCAGGCCGGCCAGCGCCGGGGCGCCTCTCGCTTCCTAATGGCTSTGCTGTGTTTTTCTGTGTTGTGTCCCCAGTTAAATGGAAGTGGTCAAGTGAAAGTGCCCAGCCACTACCTGCCCGCTCAGATGCTGGCGCCGCCGCCGCCCCCCGGCGTGCCCCGCTTGGCCGTCTCTCCTGACACCAAATCCGCCACGACCACGTCCGAGGGAGGGACGACCTCGCCGACGTCACCCAGTAAGCACCGCGCGGCGCCCCCCCGCCGGCGCGGCCGGCGCCACCGCTTTGCTGGGTCTCAGGGGGACCTGAGCGGGCAGCGCCCGCCGGGCCCTCTGGGGGGGCTCGGAGGGGCCACGGGCCGGTCCCACGGACCGGCTGGAGCCGCCGATGCCTCGGAGACGGCCGGAACAGCGCGAGCAGGGCCAGCGGGACAAGCGTGGTGGCTGCGGTGCCAACCCCGCGCAGCTGCGGGCAGAGCCACACGGCACACAGGCCTCACCAGGAGGCCGCAGCCCCGCTCCGGGCCTCTCCTCCCCATGGCCAGCGGCAGGGAGTGGCAGCGCAGGCAGGGCACGAGGACACTCGGTGACGGCGGTGCCAGGAGGGCTCTGCCAAAGGGAGCGAGCACCAGGGCGGGCGCCAGGGCCCCGAGAGCCGCAGGGTAGTGCCCAGCAGGGCCCTGGCTGGCAGTGGTGGCCGTGATGGCCCTGTCCCCTCCGCGCTGCCTCCGGTGCCTTTAACACATGGCACAGGGTGACGGTTCAGGGCTACGGACCCCACGGAGGGCAGAGCCYGGTGCTGGGCCTTGCAGGGTGCCCGGTGCCCAGTGCTGGTGCAGAGCTGAATGGAGAGATGCAGTGGCACCGCTGCAGCGGCCAGGGGACGTCCTTGTCCCCAGTGGTCAAGTCCTCGTCCCCAGAGACGAGTCACAAGGAGGGGCAGAGGTGCTGCCGGGCACAGGCAGTGCCCGAAAGGAGCTGCCAACTGCACGTCCTCGAGGTGCCCGCCCCGAACGGCACTGCGGTGGCAGGAGCTGCCCCGCGGGCAGCCACAGGGCTGGAGGGCACCGGGAGGCACCGGGAGGCACCAGGAGGCAGCTGCTCCACGCAGAGCAGGGCAGGAGTGGCAAGGCCAAGCAGGATGGACAGGGATGCCCTGGGGAGCTCGGGGCCACTGCCCGCGGTGCCCAGGGGCACAGAGCAACCCCTGGTGCCAGTGTGGCCAGCGTCAAGAGCAGCCGGGCAGGGGCCCCATGCCGGACCCCCTGCACCAGCCATGGTTCGGGAGGCAGCCGCGGGGCCGGGCACCGGCGCTGCCTGCAGTTCCCACGCGCTCGCCCTGGTGTCACCGCAGTGCTGGGCACCCTGTGACACGTGTGCCCGTGGGGCCGCCTATGCCCGCGGTGCCGCCTGTGCCCATGATGCCGCCTGTGCCTGCGGTGCTGTCTGTGCCCGCGGTGCCAACTGTGCCCACAGAGACGACTGTGCCCGCAGTGCTGGTTGTGCCTATGGTACCGACTGTGCTCGCAGGGCCAACTCTGCCCACGGTGCTGCCTGTGCCCATGGTGCCGACTGTGCCCACAGAGACGACTGTGCCCRTGATGCTGGTTGTGCCCATGGTGCTGCCTGTGCCTGYGGTGCTGCCTGTGCCCATGGAGTCACCTGTGCTCGCGGTGCTGGTTGTGCCCATGGTGCCAACTGTGCCTGTGGTGCTGACTGTGTCCGTGGTGCTGACTGTGCCCGTAGTGTCACCTGTGACCATGGTGCTGCCTGTGCCCATGGTGCTGMCTGTGCCCGCAGTGCTACCTGTGCCTGCAGTGCCGACTTGACCATGATGCCAACTGTGCCCATGGTGACGACCGTGCCCGTGGTGTCACCTGTGCCCACAGTGCTGCCTGTGCCTGCAGTGCCAGCTGTGCCCACGGTGCTGCCTGTGCCTGTGGTGCTGACTATGCCCATGGTGGTGACTGTGCCCGCAGAGCCGCCTGTGCCTGCGGGGTCAACTGTGCCCATGATGCCAACTGTGCCCATAGTGCCGACTGAGTTGCGGTGTCAGCTGTGCCCATGATGCCAGCTGTGCTCATGGTGCCACCTATGCCCATGATGCCAGCTGTGCCCGTAGTGCTGACTGAGCCCATGGTACTGACTGTGTCCATGGTGCCGACTGTGACCATTGTACTGACTGTGCCGTGGTGTCACCTGTGCCCACGGTGCTGCCCATGCCCGTGGTGCCGACTGTGCCTGCAGTGCTGACTGTGCCCGTGGTACCGACTGTGCCCATGCTGCCAGCTGTGCCCGTTGTACTGACTGTGCCATGGTGTCACCTGTGCCCACAGTGCTGCCCATGCCCGCGGTGCTGACTGTGCTTGCAGTGCCGACTGTGCCCACAGTGCCAGTTGTGCCTGCAGTGCCGGCTGTGCCTGCGGTGCTGACTGTGCCCATTGTACTGACTGTGCCCGTGTTGTCACCAGTGCCCATGGTGCTGGCAGTGCCCACAGTGCCGGCTGTGCCCATTGTACTGACTGTGGCCGTGGTGTCACCAGTGCCTGCAGCGCTGCCCTTGCCGGCAGTGCCGCCCATCCCGCAGTGCCAACCGTGTCCGTGGTGCCGCCGTTCCCGCAGTGCCGCCCGTGCCCAGGGTGCCGCCGTTGCCGCGGGGCCGCCCGTGCGGGCAGTGCCACCGGGCCCGGGGGGGCTGGCGCCGCAGCCCCGCTCCTTAACGGCCTCTCGTTTGTTCCCCAGCCTACTCTGCACCAGGCACGCCCCCTGCGAGCCGCTCCTTCGTGGGATTAGGAGCCCGGGATCCCGGCAGCATCTACCAGGCACAGGTGAGAGCCGGGGATGCTGCTGGGGGGCATCCCGGGGCGCCCCAGGCCCCGCTGCCACCCTGCGCGGGC